TTCATCTTAAGCATTGTTTCATCTCTGGAAATTTGATTTGTGTCTTTTTATTTTTCCATGTCTCTCCTTAATATGCTCATATTTTCGTCTACGTTTTTGAGCATTTGGTTATAATAACTCTTTTTTTAAAATAAATTTATTTATTTTTGGCTGTGTTGGGTCTTCGTTGCTGCATATGGACTTTCTCTAGTTGCAGCGAGTGGGGGCTACTCTTCGTTGTGGTGTGCAGGCTTCTCATTGCGGTGGCTTCTCTTGCTGTGGAGCACGGGCTCTAGGCATGCGGGCTTCAGTAATTGTGGCATGCAGGCTCAGTAGTTGTGGCGCACGGGCTTAGGTGCTCCGCGGCATGTGGGATCTTCCCGGACCGGGGCATGAACCCGTGTCCCCTGCATTGGCAGGTGGACTCTCAACCACTGCGCCACCCGGGAAGCCCCTGTAATAACTCATGTGATACCCTTGTCCACTGGCACCTTTGTTACTTCTAGGTCATGTTCAGTTGATTGATTTTCTTCTCATTATCACTCATATTTTCCTGCTTCTTCATGTGCCTGGTGGTTTTCTCTTGGATGCCAGTCATTGTGGAGTTTACATTCTTGGTGGTGTGTGTGTGTGTGTGTGTGTGTGTGTGTGTGTGTGTGCGTGTGTGTGTGTGTGTGTGTGTAGTATGGTCTTAAGCTTTGCTCCAGGGCTCGATTAAGTTACTTGGAATAGTTTGATCCATTCGAGACGTGCCTTTAAGTGTCATTAGAAGGAGCAGAGGAAGCCTGTAGGGCACTGTTTTCAACTTTTTTTTTTACTGCTCTCTCTTCCCCCAGAGCCTTTTTAGACATCTTTTTACCCTAATCACATCCCTCTGTGAAATTTTAATGCCACAACTATATTATTATCTGTTTATGTATTATACGTGTTACTGTGCTTTATACATAAAAAAATATTTTTTTGCTCCCCTTTCTCCAGAACCGTTTTCACCCCCTTGGGGGTGATGTTGCCCTGTTGAGAATGCATGGTCTCGGACTGATTCTTTGCTACTAGTAACACATGACTCTTCCTCCTCGTATCTAATATCCTGTATTCTAAGGTAGCGAGATAAATCCAGTCCCTGTATCTCCATCTTGCGGGAAGGAAGTCTTCCCAGATCCTGGCAGTTTCTTCAGAGTTGAACATACCCTACCATACAGCCCAGCCACTGCGCTCCAAAGTGAAATGAAAACATGTAGTTGCACCAAAACTTGAATATGAATGTTCACAGGATCTTTATTTCTAAGGGCCAAAAACTGGGAACCAACCAAATGTCCTTCAAGGGGTGAATAGATAAACAATTTTATACCCATACCAGTAGGTAGTGAAAAATAAAAAGGAATGAAGTATTTATACTTGCAACAATATGGATGAACTTCAAAATCATTAGGCCAAATTAGGCCAGATCAAAAAAAAATACCTTGTGATTCCATTTATATAAAAACTCAAAAAATGCAAACCAATCTGTAGCCGAAAAGATTAGTGGTTGCCTGGAGATGGAGGTGGAGGGAAGGATTGATCACAGAGGGACATGAGGAAATTTCGGTGGAAAAGGAAATGCTTTTGTTGATTGTGCGAATGGTTTCATGGGTGAACAGATGTCAGAACTCAAAAAATTATTCTAAATATGTGCAGTTTATTGTGTGCCAATTACATACGTCAGTAGAATTGTAAAAGTAAAAGATGAGGGGTTTGGGGCTTCCCTGGTGGCGCAGTGGTTGAGAGTCCACCTGCCGATGCAGGGGACACGGGTTCGTGCCCCGGTCCGGGAAGATCCCACATGCCGCGGAGCGACTGGGCCCGTGAGCCATGACCACTGAGCCTGCGCGTCCGGAGCCTGTGCTCCGCAACGGGAGAGGCCACAACAGTGAGAGGCCCGCGTACCGCAAAAAAAAACAACAAAAAAACCAGGGGTTTGGACTCCATTTGGGGAACCTATATTTCTCATTAGTGACCCATATGTATAAAAATTTATAAGCGTGATTGTGGTTGTTTTTATGATTTATAATAGTGATGAAGTTTAATTTGTTGGCAGTTGATGAAAACGCTTTTACTTGATTCTTATAAAAGTGTGCAGCTGCAGACCTAACACAGTGATGGTTGAGTTTTGCTGTGATGATTGTGTGTGTAGGTGGTAAACAGACTGACCTGTTCTCAGGAACCTGTGGACTCTGGGGAAAGGGTGTGGTTCTGAACACGGGTGGAGCTGGGTCCAGAAGCTGCCTGGAGTCTGGCCACGTAGCCAAACGTTTTAGGGCAGTGCTGGCAGCTGTGTGCTTATTGTCTAATTTTCTAGAAGGTACAGGTGATAAAACAAAAATTCAAGTTTAGTAATAAATGCCTGCAGAAAAGTTTAGGCCTCATAAATGTATAGTTTCTGCAGTTTTACGCAATGAATACACCCAGATCAAGAAACAGAACATTACCTGGTAGTGGTAATTTTCTGAAATGCAATTCTTCCTGGGCGAATAAGGTAAAATTGAACACATGCTGAATAACCATGGCTAGACCATTTCCAGGTCTGAAGTTTCTGACGCTGGGATTGTATAACATAGAACAGTTGTTCTGTTTACTTCTATTTGTGTAAACATAGGTTATATTTCGTTTAATCAAAATATTTCCTCTTGGCAGTGGACTCTCAAAAAATCGACCGAGAGGGAAAAATCCCAAATGAAACTTTAGAGAAACTGAAGAGCCTGGGGCTTTTTGGGATGCAAGTCCCAGAAGAATACGGTAAGTAAAGGAAACCACCACCCAACCAGTTTGGCTTTTAAGAAAACCCTCCGTATTTGTCCAAAAAAGGGTTCTGTTCCAGAAGGGTGGCCTTTGAAAATGCACGAAGTCCAAGGTCAGTCTGTAAAACGTCCCTTTGTGGGTTAAATCCAGGGTGGCTGGCTGGTGAGTGTGTGGCCCAAGAGGCTTTTCAGCAGGAAGAGCTATCCAGTTCCCTGCCTTCCTCCTCGGAGGTGAGGAGGGACCCTGCAGGATGTCTGTGCTCTCTGGGTCCCTTGGGTGGGGGAGGAGGGGTGGGTACCACCTCCGGCCAGCTCGGGCTGGTGCAGCGTGGTCTCCACTGTGAAGCCCTGTGGTCTCTCTGGCAGAGGAGCTGCCCCAGGCCCGCAAGTGCTTTTGTGTGTAGGGAAGGCCACGCGCTGCGCGCCCAGGGTCCAGGGCCCAGCGGCCAAAGGGGTGGGTGCACGGCTGTGGGGCGCGGGCCGCCTCGGGGAGGTGGAGCCCTGGTCTCGGGAGCTTGCGAGCAGGCCCGTTGTCCTCTGGGCCATGCTCGTTGCTCTTGGAGGTTTACAGTGGAAGGCCCTGCCTTCCCCCCAGGATCCCCGCCTGGTGGCTGTGCCCTGTTAGACTGAGCCCGTCGTGCAGCTTGTGTGTCTCCTGCCTGATGTAGCGGTGGTCCTCTCAGTTCTGTGGGAGCGAGGGGACAGGCACGGAGTGTGTGAGGGAGGAGCAGGGACAAAACACAGTCCCTCGCAAGCACTGGCACGGACGCATGTCCCTGTATTTTCACTCTCGGGATCTTTTGACGAAGACGTGTGGCCTTCACCCTGCACCCCCTGCTCTCTGAGCCCTCCCGCCGAGCCCAGGCTGAGGCGGCTTCCGGCTTCATGAGCACAGGGTCAGTGCTTTGGACCCGAGAGCTGTAGGTGGCGTGTGACACCCGGGTACGTTCTCCCAGCCAGGCCGTGGGTTAGGCCTGCACGGCGAGGCCCGGACGCGGGAGCTGTCCTCGACGTTCTGCCTCTGCCGGGTTTATCTCAGTGAGACCTGTGCCCCCCGCACACCCCACCCCACAGCCAAGGGTGGGGGCCCTCGCTGCCTGTGCAGGAAGTCCCACTGGGACCTATCCTGCAGCTGCTGCAGTCTGAGAGAAAATGTGAAAATATAGAACAAACGAGTTTGATGCCTGATTTCCTTAATTGAGAGGTATATTTTAATCAGGCTAAATCTTCGTTTATATGTGTGTCTGTCGCAGTGTATTAAGCTGTTAAAGGACGTCTCCTGCTCGTCATCCTATGAAATCCCTGTCACCGCGTTTCCAAATGTATGGAAGGAGTTCCAATCTGTGCAGAAAACGTGAAATAATTGCTGTTGCTGCTCCCTCTGGTGGCGGGATGCAGCACAGGCCTCTTGGGGGGAGCTACACCTGCAGCCTCTGGGGACCGGGGACTGAGCTCTCCCCACACCTGGAGACCTGTTGGTGTCACTTGTCGGTAACTCACAGGCCCCGAGGAACTGTCTGCCGTACGGTGGGGGCCACGTCGAATATTAGAATAGAGACCAGGTGGGGTTGAGCCACAGAGCGGCAGTTGGTGTCATGAGCTGAGAAAAATAAGTGTTTGGAGAAAACAGATAGTGGAGGAAAGCTGGCAGACACAGCCAGGGTGGTGATTGTATGCTTCCCCTTCAGAATCATTAAGAAACGACTTCTTGACTGAGGAGAAGCAGCAGTTAAGTTTTCCTCCAGACAATTTTTGTGTGAGATTGGAATATGTCTTTTTGCATCTCTCTGTGTTTTATGCCAGCACGTGTGTGTGTGGTGTGTGTGTGTGTGTGTGTATGTGATTGCACAAATCCATCCCTTATTCCTGTTTTATGTCCCCTTCTTGGGTGTGAAAATGCTCTTTCATGAGATAACAGTGGTCACATTTGGGACTATTTCATTGTCTTTCCTTTTTTTAAATCCTTCCTGGGGAAATTAAGGCGACAGCAACCTTATGTTCATGCCCAAAACATTTTCGGGAATTGTTCCCAGTCCTGGAGTGTTCTGAAGGCTGGTTGGAAACCGCCATCCTGGAAAAGAGGCCTTTCCACCGGCAGCCTGGTTTCCGCCCCCAGTTCCCTGGGTACCCCCCGGGTCTTTCCGGACCCTCAGCCCCTCCCCCCGTCAAGCAGTCTCCACCCACCTGTCATCTGTCCCCATTGATTGTCCTCCCCCCATGATTTTTCTGATACTTTCATGGGGAAAAAAAATACACAGCTTTTTTTTTTTAAAAGAAGCAACACTGACTTCAGCATGTCAAACAAGTAGGAGCACAAGCATTTTGATTGAAAGCGGCATGGTGATGGGTGGCCTTCCCTGGGTCCCCGCTGAGCGCAGGGGACGCTGCGCACCCCTGCAGGGACTCGGCCCTCCCCTTGTGTGGAAGGCGCCCCCTGCAGTTGGGCCGCGCGCGACCTTAGGCCTCGGGTAGTCATTTGTAAGGTGCACACAAGGCCACCCCACCACCGCCGGAAGTTGAAGATAAAATGCAGAATACCCAAGTTCAGCGGAGTCTGCGTTTTTAGTGTTTTCTCTTTTTGCTCCTAGAACACTGACTCCTTCCGAGGGTGACTTTGCCCCCCGACCCTGGGGCAAGAGACATGTCTAGAGACATTTATGTTGTCAGAACTGTGGAGGAGGGGGAACTTCTAGTGGGCAGAGGTCAAGGATGCCACCCCACGTCCTACAGCACACGGGGCACTCCTGCGACAGAAGGACCCAACCCCGGATGCCAGTATCCCAGGCAGAGAGACCTTTCCTGGAGGCCACGAGATGCTGGGGGTGGGTTTCGGAATGGGGTTCACGTCTGTGAAGCCCAAGATCTGTGATAGGAGGTATTCACAGCATTTCAAGTAACTTTATGTATGTTTAGGTGTTTATATGTTTTTGTGTTAAATATTACATTTTTATATTAAAATATACACCTGTATATGCTTATATGCCTGGAAGAAGTCTGAAAGGATGTGCACAAAAATGCTGTGAGTGACAAGTTCATGGGTAATTTCTGTTTCCTTTGTACCATTCTGTGTTGTGATTTTTAAAAAATGGGGAGCTGACTTTATAAAGCCACTTGCCTTTCCTGGGAGGAATTTGGGGCTGGAGCGTAAGTGAAGCTGGCCTGTTTCTGCCCTAGGTGGCCTGGGCCTCTCCAACACCATGTACGCGCGGCTGGGGGAGATCATCAGCCTGGATTGCTCCATCGCCGTGACGCTGGCAGCACACCAGGCCATCGGCCTCAAGGTCAGGGGTCTGGGTTTCCGCAGTGGCGAGGGGGCGGCCGGCTCAGCGTCTCGGAGGAAGGCCCGCTGTCCTGCAGCCTCGCTGTACCGTGCTCAGTGCCCTTCGGTGGCCCTGTCCTTCCTTTTGAAACCTCCTCCTGCCCCATCGCCTCTGACCCATCCTTCCAGGCCCAGGCCAGATGCCACTGCCTCCGTGGAGCCTGCCTTCACCACGGGCTGGAGGTGACCCCACCTCTTGATTGGCTCCCTCGGGGCCTGAGCGTGTCCCCCCTGCTGTTGGCACCTGTCCTCCTACTCCGCTGCTTGGAGTCTTTCAGGGCAGGTCTAGGGGCCCACAGCTCATTCCTTGGGTGGTTCTTGTTCAGTGTAGAAACCGAGGGGGCTGAGTGCAAGCGCTGCCCAAGCACCAGCTGTGGCTCCAGCCACCCGGTTCTGGCCACCCTGCCGGGAAGTGGAGGAATTGCCAGAAAGACTGAGGCCCTTCCTGGAGCTGTGCCAGGCCACCCTGGACTGTGCACTTTGGGGTCTCCCTGGCAGCCCAGCTCCCCAGACCCTCCAACAGCTCTCCAGTTTTTACTGCGGCTGCCAGCTCTTGCGTGAAGGAAGCGTGTTCCAGAAGGGGCTGTGTTCTGCAAGCACGTTTCACACACTTCTCTCTTGCCACCGCTGAAAGCAGCCCGTGTGTGTTGCCAGGGCATCATCTTGGCCGGCAGCGAGGAGCAGAAGGCCAGGTACCTGCCCAAGCTGGCTTCCGGGGAGCACGTGGCCGCCTTCTGCCTGACGGAGCCAGCCAGGTCAGCCCTGCATGTCACTCACAGCTTCAGGGTCCAGGGGCTTTTCTTTTTACTGAAGAGGGGTGGCTGGCGTCTTCCCTCCCTGAAGACTTCCCGGGAGTTGAGTCCACAGCTTTTCTCACCCATTCTCTTCATGCTCCCTTACCTCTACCTTACTTCTCTTTCCTGGTGACCTTTACAAATGAGATAACATGGCTGACAGCACCTGTAATTTCTTTGTGCTTTGCAACCCTCCTTATATACAGTAATGCATTCAGGCTTCACAGCGACTTTCAGAGTATAAAGGGCGGGTGGTATTGTGCCCACTTTACAGGCTGTGAACTGAGGTTCAGTGAGATGGGGTGATGAGTCCCGAGTCTCACAGCCGCCATGAGGGCAAGTCCGTTATCCAGCCCCTTTCCGTCCTGCTTCCCCACCTGGGGACCTGGGTCCCCTGCGCTCGCCTCGCGGGAGGTTAGAGCCTGCGTGAGCCGGCATTTCCGTGTTTAGACCTCCCAAACGTTGTCGCTGCCGCCTTCTCACCCGATGTGACAGAGCGGGGTTGGCCAAACCCACCTCGCCACCTGTTTTCATAGATGAAGTTTGCTGGAACATGCCCGTCTGTCTACAGATTGTCTGTGGCTGCAAAGCTGAATATGTCTATTAGCTGGCACTTTGTTTTCCGTGGGGCCTTGTCTCCAGCGTTACCCGTCAACCGCGTATTTCTTCCGCCGCAGTGGGAGCGATGCTGCCTCCATCCGGACCAGGGCCACGTTAAGTGAAGATAAGAAACACTACGTCCTCAATGGCTCCAAGGTACAGCTACGTGGCCTCCGTGGCTGTGTCAGGGTCTCCGTCCTGACCTTCACCACCACGCACTGACCACTTCCCATGCTCCAGGGATCATAAAGGGCAGGCACATCACCCCTTAACCGTCATCCTCGGGTGATGCGCCTCCTTTTTTGGAAGAAGAAACGGTGGCTCAGAGAGGTTACATGACCCGCCACCATACCATCTGCTTAGTGGCAGGATGGGAACCAAGGTGTCCTGGCTCCTGAGCCCGCAGGCCTCCGTAGTGCTGCCCACCTCCCTGAGCTGCTCTTGTGTGTCCATTCTTTTAACTTTTTATTACACGGATTTTGAAACACAAAAGTTTAGTGTCGTGAACGTCCACCCCCGTCTCCTGGCTTCGGTGCTTCCTCCGTCACGCTGCAGCCCTGGATGGCAGCCATGACGAGCTCAGTGCATCTCTGCAGGACGGGCCTGAGAAAGTCACGGCGTACACTTAAACCTTGATCGTTTCTTACTATCTGCTTAACGTTCAAACTTCCCTGATTGTCTCGTACTTACTTTTTACAAACAAGTTGCTTGAATTAAGATCCAAATAAGTTCTACATGGAGCAGTTTGTTGAGAAGTCTGTTCCCCCTCCCCGTCCCCTCTCCTCCTCCCCTCCCCCTCCCTGTCCCCTCTCGTCCTCCCCTCCCCTCCTCTCCCCCTCCC